TTCTCCAATCTGAGAGAATCCTTTCCTTTGCACTTTTCCAGGTGCATTTCATTGTTCTTTTTACTTCAAAGTTGTTAATATGGTAGAGGGTTTAGTTTAAGGGGGCTGCGTGCTTCTGTTTGCAGCTCTTGCCCAACAGATTAAGATTTTATTCTTAGAGAAGGGAGAAGCAGTTGTCTGGAGAGGTTGGCAACTCTGTTTACCAGCTACCTGTATTGTTGTGAGAATAAGAGTTTCCACATTCTGAGATCTCAACATCTCCAAGTGGGGTGGCAGTCTTCCTTGTCACATCTGGAAAATGGAAACAATGCAATACTCCTCAAAAGATGAATGAGGAAACAATTTGAGATATATGTCAAAGCCAAACCTACTGCTGTAGAATCAATTCTGAATGACAGCGACTCTACTGGACAGAGTAGAACCGCCCTTCCAGTTCCCAAGGCTGTACACCTTCACCAGAGAAGGCAGCAGGATGTGTAACCACTGTGTGACCAGAGCTCCTGAGGTTATGTATACACAGCTATTGCTGATACTCACCATTAGAATACATGTTATGGAATCGCTTCCAACATAACACTGAGCAGATGGAACTAAAGAGATAACAGTGCGCCATGCTTGATTCCATTTAGACAAACTCTACAGGACACAACCTAGTCCAGCTCTGTCCTGGAGGAGGTTCAGGGGCAGTCAGTTCCGTGGTGAGGAGCACAGACCCAGACCAGGGATTTCCATTATCCAGTAAATACTCTTTCACACCTCACAGACCCCAGGGCACAGCTGCTTGTCTTTTTATATCTGTAAAATGAAGGTAGGTTGACATCCATCTCACATGTTTTTTGTGCATATGAGACACTGAGTAAGATAATGGGAACTAAGGGTTTAGCTCAGAACAATCACATCAGGATTCCAGGTGTCCTCATTCAGTGATCTGCACTGAACACAGATGAGTCTTCATGGAGTCTGTGCTGGGCTGGGTCTTCCTTGTTGCTTTCTTAAAACGTCATTTCATGGGGAGCAAGTGCATGTCAATGCGCATGAGTGAGAGAAACAGGGGACATGTGTGATGGTTTCCTGACCATGATGTCTCTGTGTTTGCAGGTGTCCAGTGTGAGGTGCAGCTGGTGGAGTCCGGGGGAGGCCTGAGCCAACCTGGGGGGTCGCTGAGACTCTCCTGTGCAGCCTCTGGGTTCACCTTCAGAAGTCATTACATGAGCTGGGTCCGCAAGGCTCCAGGGAAGGGGCTGCAGTGGGTGGCATCGATTAGCTATAATGGTGGTAGCACATACTACGCAGATTCCATGAAGGGCCGATTCACCATCTCCAGAGACAACGCCAAAAACACACTTTATCTGCAAATGAACAGTCTGAAAGTCGAGGACACAGCCGTGTATTACTGTGCAAAAGACACAGTGAGCACAAGTCAGTGTGAGCCTAGACAAAAACTTCCCTTGTAGGGACAGGGACATGCAGCAGGTGGCACTCCTGACCCACCCAGCTCAGAATTCAGACCCAGGAACTGGTGTTTATGTAATTTATGGGCTAATATCCTATTGGGATCTGGGGACTCTCCTCTATCTCACTGTTTCTCGAGGGAATATCTTTATTTTTATAATTATGTTCTCTTCCCCTCACCATCTGTGAATTCAAAAGTTGTAACAGGAAGAAGCGTTCTCACATGCAGAACAGCAGTCTAGTGGAGGGAAAGGACTCCACCAGGAGCCCACCATGAGCTCTGAAGCAGCTCAGGGAACTCCGGGGAGTCTTGTCCGATCAGGCTCAGGGCAGACGGAGCCCCCGGGCAACACTGATGGTGACTCTCTGGACTCCGAGCTGGAGTCTGATGGTTGGAACCCACCCAGTGAGGCCTCGGGACCCAGGCCTGATGACCTGCTTCTGAAAGCTCAGACTCAGGGCAGACACCTCAGGGGGGTTCCCAGTTAGGACCCTCTCTGGGATTCAGGGGAGATCCAAGAAGGTGGTGAGGGGACGGTCACTAACATATACAAGCAGAATGAGGTTTACATCTGAACGTCCCCACACATAGGAGGGTGTGGCTCAGACTCAGGGCAGACACTTCAGGGGGGTTCACAGTCAGGACCTTCTTTGGGATTCAGGGGAGAGCCAAGGAGGTGGCGAGGTGACGGTCATTAACAGACACAAGCAGAATGAGTTAGAATCTCAGTTCATCCTTCCTCAGGTGTGGATGTGGCCAGCTCGTCCAGATCGGTGAATGCTGAGGCAGCCTGTATGGAATCGTCACAGGACAGAGCAGGGATAACATAAGGACCCATTTCATCAGATGACATGTCTCTTCGGTCAGAGCAGGGATAACATCAAGACCCCTTTCATCAGATAACCAGTCTCTTCGGTCAGTGGCCTCAGCAGTTCAGATTTATTAGGGTGGTTTGTTCTTTCTAGCAATCATCCTTCTTAAGCTATGTTAAGTTAGACTACTTAGTAACCTCAATTCTTAGCCTCTTTGTCCTTTGGTAACCCCAAAGCAAGGGATGATCATGTTTCAGACCTTCACGAGTGCATCTGAAGTCCCAGGGAAGGGGCTGAAAGAAGTTTCATAAAACCTTGGTCTGCCTGCAGAGTTCACTGAGTTACAGAGCCCAATTCACTACTTCAGGAGATTGTACCACACCCAACTCATGTCACAGAGGGATCAGTGGAAAGCCAAGAGAACTATTATTTAATACTGGGCCAGAGGCAATGCCAGTGGAAGGCAGAGAGGCTGCAGACATAACCCCTCTGCAGGGAGAGGACAGGCCTGCAGGGGGCGCTCAGTTCCCATCAGTTAAAGGGACCAGCCCCAGAGGAGGGCAGAGGAGGAGTGAGGAGGGGCTTCCTCTAAGCATCTGCTTCTCCCTTTTTTTAAAAATCTAAAATAGAACATGAAGACGACTGCTGATATGTTTATAAATATTCTATTCCATCGAGGGTGTTTACCTAGCACAGGAATTTAATGTCCTTTTCTAGGCCTTAGAGATATCTGGTGGAGCCCTGGGACACAGTAGGTAAGTGCTCCCTGCTCCCTGAAAGATCCACAGTTCCACCCACCAGCTGCTCCTTGGGAGAAAGGTGTGATGGTCTCCATTCACACAACTACAGTCTTGGAAACCCTATAGGGCAGTGCTACTCGAGTAACTCTGAGTGAATATTGACCTGACAGCAATCGGTTATAGATGGCATAATAGTAAGGAGCAGAAAGTGAGATGATGTCATAAATTAAGTGGATCCAGAATTGTGGAAGTCACGGTGATCCCAGGAATAAGACATTATTCAGGTGTCAGGCCTAGGCGATGTGGCCAGGCTGGGTGTGTGGGAGGAAAGGGGTGGGGCTGAGTTGGTGGCAGGTGCACAGATCCAAGCAGATCATAAATCAATTAGTAAAGATAGGAAGCAATGGGTCCAAACCAAGAAAGATATTGAAATTGTACAGAATAAAAAAAGGAAAACAAAAAAAAAAAAAAAACACATTGATACTGTGCAAAACTAAGTTATGTGGTGTCCGGGAATGAGACACAAAGCTACTGAAAACAGATTTCTGGGAAACATTTTGAAAAATGTGAGTTCAATAAGACCCCATACAATTCCTGTCATCAGTGGAATCAGAAACAGCCCTCAATCACTCATCAGAGGGCTGGCCTGA